TTTTTTTTTTTTTTTTTTGAGACAGGGTCTTGCTATGTAGTTCAGGCTAGCCTTGAACTCACTGTGTAGCCCAGGCTGGTCTCAAACATGTAGCAATCTTCCTGCCTCAGCCTCCCAAATGCTGGGACTACAGGCATGATCCACCATGCCAGCAAGGTCTTAACTCTTTTTCCAAGCGAAGCTCAAACACATCCATCTGTACACTTCAAGAAAGAGACAACTGAATTTCACATCTGTGCCTCTAACAGGACCCCCGGTTCCGTACAGCTGTACTCCAACTGAGAGCCCTCAGGAAGAGCAGGACTCCGAAGTTCCAGTCTGGTCCTGAGTACATCACCAGACGGCACGCTTACCTTTTGGCAGGTGAAAGTGGGAGTGCTGTGAGAAGACCTTAGCTAATGAAGGGTACAGGTGGCCGTTCCCAGGGTGACAAACAGGTGGATGTGGATCAGAGGTGCCACGCAGCGTCCCACAGCTGTGCACATGGGAGCAGATGGGGACAGGGCAGAAGTCCTCCAGCCTGGGTCACTGGCTCCGTCCCCGACGGGAGCTGAGTGACTGATAACTTGATCAGCCTTTGTGGAAGCACTTTGTACCAGACAGCATTTTTCCTGGCCAAGTTCACAATCCTGTCCGGGTCCTAAGGGGCTTCTCTTCCCAGGGTGCGAGTCCTTCCCTGGCACAGGCTGTGTGAGTGCCTGTGTGGGTGTACAACAGTCCTCTGAAGAAAGGCTGGGCAGCAGGGACAATGTCTATGGCTCACTGACAGCGGGACCGGCTGCGGTGTGCACTGCATGATTTATTTCTGCCTTCTGCTCTGCAGTTCGGTTCTTACACCCTTTCTGGGGCTTTCTGGGTCTTCTCTAAGGTTTTGCTTCCCCAAAGCAATGAAAACAAGTGCTAGCAGAAGATTCAGAACACTTCTTGTATACATATGTGGGAGGGTGGGTATTCTTCCCCTAAATTTTATACACACACACATACACACACACAACTGGTACCAGGGATCAAACTCAGGACCTTGCACTTGTGAGCTAAATCCCGGCCCCCTAAATATCTGCAAGACCGAGGATGGACTGAGCCAATCGCAATCAGGGGAGAAGGAACCAGAAATCAGACTCTTGCCACGTTCTGAAACTTCTTTCAGCAAAAACATTAAACAAGCCTTTAACCAATTTACTAGCAAATGGTACAAAAAAGAAAATCTAGGGTTGGACTTTTCCCTGTACCACCAATGTCAGTGACGCTGCATCAGGGAGGGAGGGAGGGAATGCAGGAGTCTGGAGGCCACCGTAGTGACAACCGCATCGATCCACACACAGAGGGAGCAGGCAGGACCCTGGTCATCCCTTCAATTAGCCATGATGAATCCCACACTCCCCGGCAAACCTCCTGAGTGTGGGAGCTGGCCTGGGACACAGGAGTGGGCGGGGTCTCCCTAGGGGACACGGGTGTGTGAGATGCGATGACCCAATGACACAGACACAGTCTTCTGGGCCAGTGAACACGCCCACAGGGCAGGGGCAGCAGCTCAAATCAAGAAAACCATCCACTGCATTGAAAACACCCCATTCCTGCAAAGGGTCAGGCTATTGCTTTTTCTTGGGGAACTTTTAGAGATATGAGGAAACACTTTGTTAGAGTTCTTTGGGCACTAGAAAAATAGTAAAATCTTTGACAAATGTTATTTCTAGTTTTTCATGTTAAAGTTTTTACATGGGACATTTTTCTTTCATTATACTCACCTTATCTTACTACACTAATGTTTATTTTACTACACTGTATTTACTTAGCAATCTTGTACCCAAATTTTCCACATTACTGCTTCTTCCCTGCCATCACCTCTCTGTGTGCTTGTTCAGTGACGATCAAATAGCAAAATCAAATGATCCATTCTATATTAACTAAGCCAACTCCAAACCTGGGTTCATAAAAGAGACATAGAAAAGCACTGCTAGCAAAAGTCTTTAATATTCATGAACATTTTTGTTTATTGCAGAAAATGTACTCAGCTGACAGCCTGCTCCTGTCTTTTAATTTTCTGTGTGAATTAAGTCACTTTCCCCTGTGACAATAAAATAAGTTTCATTTTGTGGGGGTGGAAAGGACAGAGGAAATTATGGGACTTTATGTTATAACTGAGCAGGAATGTGACAAAGAGAAATTTTTGTAATTACATAAAAGCGTAAGAATGAAAGCCTTCAAGAGAAATTAAGACTGTAAGTGATGGGCAAAGGCTCTCCACAGCGGGCCGCTACTTCTGTCTCCTGTAGGAGTGCAGTCCTGACTTCTGCCTCTCTCGGCCACAGCTGCACTGACCCCAGAGGCTGCAGGACCCACTCTGCCAGCAGCCCAGCACCTTCCTGTGCCCTTCTGGGCTGTGTGCAGTCAGCCCAGAAGGATCCCCAAGGTCGGGCCTGAGGCCTGGCTGTGCCACCCCTGGCTGGGCATCCTGACAAGTCCCCAAACCCCCTCAATGCTCGGCCGTCTTTCCCCCAAATGAGGACGATAACCTCTGCCCTCATGGCTGGCCCTGGGGGTGCAGGGGCGCCTGTCTTCATGGCCACCGGCCATGGACACCAACATAGGCCGCTGACCAACACAACACTGGGCACCAGGGCACGGTCACCTGGGTCTTGCAGGCTGAGCCCTGCTCTGGCCAGCATCTCCAGCCTGACGGACCCTTGACGACACTGGGGAGGGGCAGTGGCCTGCAGGGGGGACACAGGGAGGGCCTCCCAAAACCAGGGGCACGGTGGGGAAGTGCTCTCTGGTCAGTGGAGCCCCCACCCTGCCAGAGGGCCAAGAGGGCAGGCAGGTCCCCTTGGGATTCCCGCTGACCACCCAAGCGACAGGGACTGTGTGGGTCACCTGGGCCCGGCCTGGAGGTGGTGCTACCTGCTGCCTCACTTAGCTGGGTCACTCCCAGGCAGGAGGAGACAATTACCGGAAAGACCCCTGGCACGGGTAAAATGCCATGCAATTGGAAGTCTGTATTTCACTTGCCGATATGGCCAGGTGTGGTGGCCAGGTGTGACTGCAGCTAGTCAGGAGGCAGAGGCTGCCCGGGGAACTTAGCTAGACTCAGAATAAGACCCTCTGAGGGCTGCGTACGGAGCTCGGTGGTAGTACAGGGCTTGCTGAGCATGTGGTTCAAGCCCCAGTACTGGGGAAGAAAGGTGATGATGCAAGATGTCTGACTTCTAAAATCTTCTTGAAAACACCTGCTTTGGTGGACTACAAAGTCCCCTGACCACAGCAAGATCAAGATGGTGAGTGTGCGCCTTTGGGCAGAGGGACGCTCAGCTCCTGATGGACAGACACAACATGTGGTACCGGGGATCAAACTTGGGTCCTTGCATTTTCAAGGCAGGCAGCGGAAGCACTGAGCTAAATCCTCTGCTCCTTCGCCCGTGTCCTCAGCTTGTGAAATGTGTTCAGCCACATTCTCTCATTTGCTTTCAAAACAAGTCTGTGCCATAAACAATGAGGGAGTTGGAACTGAGGTGCTAAATGGCCCGGAGCACAGGGGTCCTGGCACAGCAGGGTTAGGCCGGCCTTGGGTCCCTCCTGAGCCATCTGTCCACCTGGCTCCTCCCAACCCACACCCTGACTCGGCCCGCAGGGGGCTCCCCAGCATCACCTCTGCCATTCCCCACTTCTGGAAACAGCCACCTCCCTCCATCTAACATTTTAAAAACTATACCCAAGGTTTTGAGACATCACAGAATCCGTAAACCACCACGTCAAAATGTCTAGAAACCAATGACTTACAATCTAACCTGAAAGAGGGGGAAAAGCAAGGCGAATTCTACCTGCTCGCTCAGAACCAAACTGCTCCCTAGGGTCTACTCCTGAGTACACTGCGCCGGTCATCCTGGCCACGGCAACAGCGGCTCTCCACCGTGACCAGGTAAAGGCCAGGCTTTCAGGCACAACCCCACAGCATACGCAGACCCTCCTTTTCATCGCCTTGCGCTACTGGCGACAAACTCGGCTCCCCGGCCCCAGACGTCCTTCCTAACCCTCCAGCTGCACACGCACTGCCCAGGCCCTGCTCACTCTTCTTAGCTGTCAGCCTACAGCGAGGATCAGAGTCAGGGAGGTGAGACCCCAGCGGGAGCGCTCAGCTTCCAGCGGAGCGGGTCTCCACGGCTCGTCCCCTTACGAAGGCAGTCGGCACGTGCGGGTCAGGCCCCTCTAGTGTGCGCGTAGCCGTGGACCTCAAGTGCTTCACAGAACAAATCGCATCTCCCATTTGTGGTTCAGACGGATGTCACGGAGTCAGGATGATGGCGTGCAAGGCCCATCCCGCTGGGGTGGTTCAAGGGCGGAAACCATGGAAACCAGCGGCAGCAGCGCACCCAGCGGAGGATGGAGCTTGTACACCTGCACGTGAACCGTGGGCTCCCGACCCATCTGGCCGCCCCTGCAAGGTGGGACTGTGATCCCAGTCATACCGGGGCAAAGGCTGGTACCCCCAAGCCCTACCTCTGGGGCTGCAGGCCACAGTCACCAGGGAGGGCAGCTGCCACCCTGGAGCGTCACACCGCGCCTACTGGCTCCGTCTGCTGTCCACCATGCAGCCGAGCACAGAGGACCCCACACCTGCCAGTCCCCAACAAACACTGTTCCAAAACGCCTGCAAGCTGCTCTCTGCCACACACCAGCCTGCCAGGAAGAAGGCGGATCCCAGTACCATCACCCTGTGGCTAGGTGAGAAAACCAAAGACCAGTGCTGGCCATGGTGGCGCACGCCTATAATCTTAGCACCTGGGAGGCTGAGGCAGGGGGGGTCACGGCAACTTCAAGGCCAGCCTGGGCTACACAGTGAGTTCAAGGCCAGCCTGAACTACACAGTGAGATCCTGACTCGGAAAAAACAAAAGAAAAGTGCAGCACAGCGAGACTCACTGACTTGGTTTAAGCTCACACCTTCCTACCTTACCTGAACCAGGCAGTCTTACCCCAGAGTCCAAGCCCTCTGCCCGCTTCTGCTCACTCTCTCCCGATACTCACGTCAGCTTCTGAAATTGTGGAGCCCTGCTCCTTTATTCGCTGATGCCACCACTTCTCCACGGCCTTTCTCGTCTGCGCCGTGTACTCTTTTGTCCACTTGCCCGTGGCACTGTAAATACTTCTGGTCCACCTGATGACACTGGGGCTGCCACTCAGCCGCCTTGTCAGGAGCGAGGCACAAAGCCCCAGCGTGGGCCAGGAGGAAGCCATGCTTCCCAAGGTGGGGCTTGCAGGGCGGGCGGAGCGTGGCTTGTCCTTCCAGTCAGCACGGCCCAGCACACCCTGCCCGGTCACATGCTTTCTCCTCGTCGAGGATGAGGACTCTTCCCTGAAAAGAAGATTTTAGAAGTTCATGGTAGCGACACGCACACTTTTTAATGGAAAATACAAAGGTGGTCCAAGTCCCCAAACACCAAAGATACAAAACCCCTTAGCAAGAAAGGGAGCCCACGCCCGGGCAGAAGCTCCCAGGTGGCAGAGGAGGGACGGAGCCCCTTCTCTCTTCCCTTTAGGCCACCAGCTCTGCCTGGTGGGCCTCATGTGACAGCTCTCTGGGCCTCAGGAGAGCTCTAAGCACAGCCTGGCATGGCCAAGGCTCAAACAGCAGAAGGGATGGGAACACAGCAGGTCCAGAGGCTCAGCACTCAGGAACTTTGACAGTTTGGACTATGGGTTACACAGGCCCGACAGGCTAAGGCAGGAAACAAACACTATTTAGCAGGGTGCTCATTCATTAACCAAATATGTATTAAGTGCCACTAGGGCCACACTGTTCCTGGCACGAGGAATGCAGCAGTGAACAGGAACCAAGCCCTGGCTGGGGTGCAGCTCAGTGGTAGAGCATAGGCTCAGTTTGCACAAGGCCAGGAGTTTAATCCCCAGAAATGGGGGGGAAAGAAAGGAAGGAAGATCATTCTTTCACAGTAATACATATTAGTAGGGATGCAAATCAGAAACAAAGAAGCCATGTGAGAGGGCACATGTCTATTATCCCAGCTACTTAGGAAGCTGAGGCAGGAGCACAAGTTCGAGGCTAGCCTGGGCAACTTGGTGAAACCACACCTCAAAATAAAAAATAAATTTGGAAAGAAAGAAGGAAGATTATTGCAAGCAAGTCAGATTTAGGTTATCCAAAAAGTACAAAAATACATAGAATGGATTAAAGAATCTGTGTCTCATGTGGGGTGAAGATTCCACAAGGGAAATAGTTCTAGAGTAGGGCAAGAAAAATAGCAGTCATGTTTTTATTTCATCTTGAAATTATCAGTTTGTGAGTATATGTTTTCTGATGAGTACACTGTATTTGAGCAGTAATATAGTACCATAGTAGCGTGAAAAAAAATCAATTTGGTAAAGTACCCCTACCAACTCCCTAGAGCCAACTAAATAAATAAATAGATAGCAGTTGTGAATACTATATTATTTTTTGGAATAAAACCCATATGTCAAGGCATACCAAACTATCCAGATGCAATTCAAAATTCAACTTTAATGTTTCATTGGTTTCATCCATAGGTGAATTCCAGAAATTACTTCATTGGAAAACAAACCAGGTTTATCACTGTTGAAACCGTTCAGATGAGATTTCATCAAATATTTAAAATGAATGACTAAATACCCTAAATCCCCTGCCTCTTACATAATAGCTTAGAGAGGTGCTACAGTGTAAAAACAGATCTTTCAAAATAAGACAGAAAAAAAGAAACCTGACACTTAAATCAGTGTTAATTCTGATTCTCTCAAAAATTTTTCCATTGTCTACTAGGGATTGACCTGTTTCCCAAAGGAACTGGATCACTCACCCAGGAAGGTCATTACAGGCCTATAAAAATGGAATTCAGGGCTGGGGATTTAGACCAGTGGTGCTGCTGCCTGCCTTGCAAGTGCAAGGGCCTGAGTTCAATCCCCAGCACCAAAAAAAAAAAAAAAAAAAAGGAACTCACACTCACAAGAACTGTGACCAGTACTGGCATTTACCAGCAAATCTGCCAAGCTTGTTTTTATTGATTGATTGACTTTTTTTTTTAGACTGGGTCTTGCTGTACATACAGATCAAGCTGGCCTTGAGCTCACTATGAAACCCACGCTGACCTTGAACTCAGGCAATCCTCCTGCCTCAGCCTCTCAAGTGCTGGAGTCACAGGCGTATGCTACCATGCCCAGCACTTGCCAAATTTTGCGTCATGCCAATAGATTCCCACAGCATGTAACATCTTTTAATTTTTTAGGGATGGAATAAGAGATTGGAAAACATCTCACTATTAGTTGCGCTTGGCTATTTTTAAGTATGTGGATGTGACCTAAGGATATTTAGGGTGAACTATAAGAAACTAGGTAAATATTAGCAATTCTGTAAGACCAACCAACTATAGATCCACTTTGTACAATGAAGGCAATTCCATTCAATGTTAGGACTTAGGGTTCCATATATTTAGAACTATCTTTAGGAGAGAGAACCTGGCTCTCTTGCTGAGTCAGCATTTCCATGCCTTTGCATGCCTAAAAATGTCTGTTTGACATCTTAGACAGCACTCCCCTAAGAACACAAGGAGAAGGCTCAGAGTTACACTTAGAAAGAGAATAAACAATGAATGGGAAACAACAAAATTATAAAAACATAAACTAACCCAAACTGCAATCTCCTAACTTACTTACATTCCACATCACATAGTGATACTCCCAGTCTGCACCCAGAATAAGCTTTACATAATACCTGATTCCCTAGTAGCCTCTCCCTTGCATTAACTAATGGACTGAAATTCCTGAAACAGATTTGAGTATATAAAAGAATTTAATGCTGGGCTATGATCCAGGCACTCAGTAGGCTGAGGCAGGAGGATCACTGAGAGTTTGAGGCCAGCCTAAATTACACAGCAAGACCCTGTCTCAGAAAAAAAAGGGTGGCATTTAAAGTTCCTAACACACAAACAGGTTAGAAAGTGATGGATTATTCAGTGAATATGGAAAAATTTCAAATGACAGCCTTACTTCAAATCAAACTAAAGCCAATTTCAGAAAAATTAAAAAATGGTTTTTAAGGTATCATAAGACAAGATGAAAACACAGACGAGTATTAAGTAATCTTGACAAGGCACAAGGTGTTCCATTCTGAACATAAAAACATTAAAAAGATTCCCAAGGGAAAATACTAATAAACCTGAGTCTCAAAAAACAAAATATTTGTATATCAAAAACATGTTGGCCAATATTAGCAAATAAGGAGTTGAAATAAAATGTGCATCAAAACTACTACAACAAAAGGTCCCCAACTGTAGAAACAGTTCACATGTGAAAAGCAAAACACTAAAAACCTAATGTTAGACACAGGCAAAGTGGAGGGCTGGAGGTGTAGTTCAGTGGTAGATGGCTTCCTTAGAAGAGCAAGGACCTGGATTCAATACCCAGCACCATGGAAAGGGGTAGGAAGCAAAGGAAAACAGGACAGAAGAGTCACAAATGGTTAAACATACGAAAAAAATCAACCTTAAGACTAACCAAAGAAACACAACTTAAAACAAACATTTTGCTCATCAGCCCGGCAAAAACTTGTGTAAATGAAACGAAATATGCATACTTATATACTGCTAGGGGAAGGTAAGTTGATTTCCCCTCTCTCGGGAGCAGTCTGATAACATGGGCAAAGATGTTTTAAGAGAACTAGGGTTATGGCTCAGTGGTAGAGCATGGGTTCAATGCCCTGCACCAACACCAAAATGAAACAGAGAAGCACTAAGTGTATTCTAAATTTTTGTGCTGGGGATGTAGTTCAACGGTACGGTGCTTGCCTAGCATACATGAGGCCCTGAGTTCCATCCCCACCACTGCAATCAATCAATCGGTCAATCTATCAATCAATCACTAAATAACTTCAGGTTTTTACTGGCTGGGAAGACTTGCCAGGAACCAGTAGTTTGTACCCATGGCTATGATTTTTACAGAGCTTCCTGGTGCTCAGCCCTATTCCCAGGCCCTACTGTAGGCCACTCCTTCAAAGCCTAGTGAGGACTTCCTTTTCCTAATCTCAAAGGCAGCTTTGTATTTGAAGACTCTAATAAAATGAATGCAGTGTGTGGCTCTGGTTACGTTTATGATCAGCTTGGCCCTTTTACTCCTTAGCTGTGGCTCCCCCTCTTCCTTCACTTGCTTGCAACCCTGTCTCCCCCTCCACATTCTTCCACAGCATCAATCCCCAGTACTGCACCCCACTTCAGAGTCCGCCCTGACCTCAACCATACTTGGAGGTTAAGTTCAGGTTTCTGAGAATAGAAGGGACCTAAGAACTGGGCACAAAATGATGATCATACATAGAGAAACTCAGATTAAAAGATAGGCAAAGAAACAGAGCCCAGGAGAGCAGCTCATGAGGGCATTGTGTAGAAGCAAACTAAAGAGCAAAAATGTACCTGGGGAAATCTGTCTTAAAGAAATCATGTTTTTAAAGTACACGTTTTGTGTTGTGCAGTTACTAATTCCCTGTGTGACCTCAGGCCGCTCATTTCCTGTCTGGAAATCCATTTCTCCGCTAGGAAAGGCAGTAGACCCAGATAATTTCCGGAGATCTTAGGGCCACAGTGTGCTGTGGTCGCGACCTGGGGCCCCAAAGACGCTACCGATGACCTCTGCCTGGATCCAAACCCCGAGCCCAGGGGCAGAGATCCAGGGATGAACTGGACACAGGAGCGGTGGAGAGGGAACGCGAGTGGAAAACCGCGTGAGAACGGGCGAGTTCCTGGGAAAGAGTCCAGAGCTAGCGAAAAGGCCTGAGGCTTAACGATCCAGAAGGCGGGTTCTCAGAGACTTCAGGTCTGATACTGCCGGGGTCCAGGACCTCCTCTCCCTGCCCGCACCTTCCTTCCTTTCTGACCCCAGAAAACCGGGCCCTCCCGGCCAGCGGAGAGATCAGTCTGGCCGCGCCTCTGGACCTCCTGAGCTCCGGCAGGGGTTTACCTGCTCACAGGCTCTGGCCTGCAGCTCGTCTACGCCTCGTTCCCGAACCTCTACGCGTACACGGCGCGGCACGTCAGCATGGGCGCCGCCATGTTGGCAGAACAACAACTTTATTGATAGCGACGCCGCAGACACGGACAGGAGGGGCGGGGCGACTCGCTGGGCCCCGCCCCCACCACGAGCTTAGCGCTTCCGCCAGGGCTTTTGCCACGTGTCTGCCTTTAATATGGTCCTGTCTATGTTATGCCCAAGTCGCGAAGTCCCCAAAGACCACCAAGGAGTCATGTGCGATGCAATTGCAAGAGGAGTTTATTGCAAGCTCGAGCCTGGACTCTCAGGTGTCACCGTCACAGCGGCTTCACAGCGGCTTCACAGCGGCTTCAGACTGACAGCCCAGATCCAACTTTTTCTGCTGCTATTTTTAGTTCTCACTTATCATTAAGTAATCAAGGGGCACCGGGAGGGCACATTGGAACATGACCTAATGCTTACACTTGCAAAATTATCATGGGGTGCTGGGAGGGTATGTATTGGAAAGTTACCTAAGGCCTTCATTAGAGAATTAATTCCTCTTTTCATTAGATTATCTGACTTTTTTTGCTAACTAAAATATATAACGATCTATGTCAACTATAATTAATTCCTATATCAGCTATAACTAATTCCTATATTAAGTCACACTAAAAGAAGCTTATCTTAACATCTTAAAAAGAGGAACAGAAGCACAGAGAAACTGCCACATAGAATGGAATTTTTCAGAAAGGAACTTTTGTATTTACTCTATTCTGGGTAAGGGGTTTGGAGCCCATCGTGACCTGGAAACTTGGTCCTCACATCTGTATGTCTCAGGGTTATTACCAATGCAGCAGGTGCCTGAGAGCCATTAGTTTGGTGATGCCAGGTTAAACCAGAGCGCCAGGATAGTCTGGAGGCCCCAGGTTCCAATCCCAAACTGGCAACTGCCCACTGGGCTTGGGTGGGTCCCTTGTCCTCTGGATCGCTGAGGAACCACGTGATGGGTGAGGCCTCTGCCACATTCCGAGATCTCCAGACCCTGAGGGGAATTACCTGGCCAATACCGAGGTACTGTACAAGCAAAGTGCTTTTCTTTCCCAGTAAGCAGGCAGGGAGTTGGGAAAGCAGGACATACCCCCCCCCACACACACACACACGCAAACAAACAAGGACGACCACTTTCCTAGACTTTGTATGTCCAAGTTGCCCCTGGACCCCAACCCAGCCAGCTAGTTCTTCCTTGTAATGATCCATGAATTGCAAACCAGCGATGTTAAAGTCAACTTTTTAAAAAGGTAAATCCTGTTTAAAGGAGTATTTGGAGAATGTGTATGTGGGCAATCGGGAATACTGCAATGAATTTACTCATTGTACAAAATGATTGATAATGCTAACAAGAAAAAATGTTTGGGAGTCACTTTTTTCTACAGGGCTGAAACCAGTTGTACCTGTGCCAAATAAAATCCTCCATTGCTATTTGTCCACCCCTTCTCTTCTTACAGATGTGCACAGTGGTCAGTGAGAAGGCAAATAATGGTGCGTGTACACACACACACACACACACACATGCACACACACACACACACACACACACACACACACATGCGCGCGCAGAGTCAAATCCCCTAGTGCACTCCTCCCAAGAGATACCCTGGGATCTCTTCTGCCCCTTTCCTAGTCTTTAACAGGTTTTCCTGACAGTTCACAATCCAAGTACCTCGTTATTCAAAGCGAGGACCTTCAAAATGAGAATATTGAGGTCTACCCTGGGCCTGCCGGATCAGCCTGCATTTTAACAAGACCCACAAAGGATTCCAGGCACGTTCAAGTTCGAGACATCCTGTCCTAGAAGGTGAGAGTTAAGAAGGTCTTGAAGAACACTCTATTCCAATCTGCTCGTTTTACAAACGTACAAACCATGGCCTGATGGAGCTATCTTGCTCAAGGTAACATGCAAGTCAGTAAAAGGTTTGAGATTCAAAACTGCGTCTCCAGTCTGTGAAAACGCCCCCTTTCAAAATTGCGCAATGGATGATCATAAGCAATGGAACATCCAGTGCAGTCCTCTATGTCAAAGAGGAGGATGCTGGTGCCCACAGATGGGACACACCCTCCCAAGGTCGTACATCTAGTTGGTGACACAGCCAGGTCTCTTGACTGCTCCACCCCCAACACAAGTTGCTAGGGAAGAGTCGGCGGATGCGTCAATCCGCTACCCCAGGGCAGACACCAGTGTGCAACTCTGGTCCGTTCTGTGTGGTGGTACACTGCTGTCTCTAATTTAGCTCTACCTCTATCCTTAACTTGGTTCAAAAGCTCTCTCTCCTGTTATGAATTAAAGTTAACATTGACATTTCTGGGAGACTATTTCAAGTGGAATTTTTCTAAAAGTCATTTGCTTTACTGAATGTAGCTATTTTTACATCAAAGAAGACGGTGGCCTGAAACTAAGCCCTTTCCCTCTTAAAGAACTTGCTGCAATCATACATTATTAAATGAAAGGGAAGTTGGCTGTGGAAAATGTATATCATTTTCTTTTTTTATCTTTGAAAGGAAAGGAAATAAAAGAAATATATTTGCTACCATATGCATAGAAATAAATCTAGAAAATCGTATGTCCTAAATTCTTTCCTGTGATGATCTCTAGGGACAGTGAAATCACGTGTTTCTCTCGTGTTTCTGTATTTCTTTTACTTTTTCTGTTAGCTTGTGTGGGCCTTGATAAGCTCCAAGCTTTCCCCGATCTTAATCCCTCGAACCTGTGAATGCCACTGTTGGCAAAGAAACTTGCTACATGTGACTACATTAAGGATCCCAGGATGGGGAGATTATACAAGTGGCCCCAAATGTAGTCACAAGTTGCAGTGTATCTGTCTCTGTCTCTGTTTCTCCCTCTCCCTCTCTTTCCCCACTAGGATTGAACTCAGGGCCTTGTTGGGCAAGCACATTACCACTGAGCTATATTTTGAGCTACTCATGTGCTCTTCTTTTCTTTCATTTTTTTTTTTTTTTGGCTTTTTGAGATAGGGTCTCACTATGTAGTTGAGACTGACCTGGAACTCACTATGTAGCTCAGGCTGGTCCCGAACCCACAGCGATCCTCCTGCCTCAGCCTCCTGAGTGCTGGGATTATAGGGATGCACCACCACACCCGGCTTCATGTGCTCTTATGATGGAGTCACAAGAAAATTTGAGGCAGGGCAAGGGGCAATGTGACCATTAAAACAAGATATTATAATTCTGGCTTAGAAGATGTGAACTAAGGAAAGCACAGGGTGCGGCTCTACAACATGATAGAGGCAGGCACACAGATCCTCCCCTATGGTCTGGCACCCCGCTTCTGTGTGGATACTCAAAAGAGTGGGAAGCAGGGCCTCAGAAAGCTCTTTGTACATCTGTGGCTGCAGCAGCACTGTTCACAGCAGCCAGAGCTGCAGCAACCCCAAGGTCTATCAACAGACGAGTGGATGAAGAAGTGTGGTTTGTACTCACAGAGGACTGTTGTTCAGCCGTAGAAAGGAAGGAAACTGACTTACATAGAGGAATCTAATGCTAAGGGAAATAAACCAGGCCCCAAAAGACAAATACCACAGCTGGGTGTGACGGCACACGCCTGTAATCCCAGCACTCAAGAGGCCGAGGCAGGAGGATGCTGTGAGTTCCAGACCAGCCTGGGCTACAGAGTGAGTTCCAGGTCCGTCTAAACTGCATAGTGAGATCCTGTCTCAAAAAACAAAAAACAAAACAACAACAAAAGTCATACCATATGATTCCTCTCACATAAGTTACTCAAAGCAGTCAAATTTGTAGAGACAGAAAGTGGACTGGTAGTTGCCAGAGGGCAGAGGAACAGGGAGGGAGAGGGCAGGTATTTTTTTATGAATACAGAGTTTCGGTTGGGAACATGAAGAGTCACAGAGATGCATGGTGGTGATGTTTGCCCAGTCATGGGAATGTGCTTGACATCTCTGAAATGTACACTTCAAAATGATTAAAATGATGTATTATGTGTTCGTGTGTTTACCACAACCAAAAAAAAAATTTTTTTTTAAATCAAACCAAGATCTGTCTTGTAAAGGTACAAGATGCCAATGATGAATACAACTGTACTGTATACCAAAAAAGTACCACTAAACTCAGTGAAAAAATTTTAAAAAAGGAAACAGATTCTCTCCTCTCCGGGGCCTCCATCAAGAGTGAGCCCTTATTGTTATAGGACAATTAATTACAGCAGCCACTTGTTTTGTACTCCACTCCTTCACCCAGCCACATAGACCACACTGACAGTCAGAACGGAGCCTTTGCTCACACTAAACTTCCACATCACCAAGCTGAAACTAAGCTGTTTATCTGATCTGAGAAGTCAGGATTAGAGAGAAAAGGCAATTTCCCAAGCAGACCCATGTAAATCAGAATGATGAGGTTTCCTCTGTGTTAATCCTTGCACAAAAGAAGTAATCAGAAAGAGCCCAATGTTATCTTCGCATTATTTCCCCTTGTTCTGGCTCCCAGGCCCTGCTTAGACAAAAAAGAATGTCAAAGTGGACTGTCTGCCCTTTGTTCTTTGATATCTCCTTTCTTCAACTTTTGTCTGTAAAACCAACCTCTTCTGGTCAGGGACAAAGAACATTTATTCTATTTTAGGGTTTTTGTTTTGGGGTTTTTTTGGGGGGTTGTTTTTTATTTTTTGTTTTTGAAACAAGGTCTCACTATGTAGTTCAGACTGCCCTGGAACTCACTGTGTAGCCCAGGCTGGACTCGAACTCACAGTGATCCTCCTGCCTCAGCCTCCCGAGTGCTGGGATTACAGCTGTGCACCACCACACCTGGCCTTTTATTCTATTTATAGAATGAAGAGTCACCCAATTTTAGAATTTAAAATAAAAAGCCAATTAAAATTGTTAAACTCAATCATTGTAATTTTGAAATCATTCAGCTCTGCTTTTTTTCTCCTGGTTCTCACTGCAGATCTGGCTAAAAGTAGGCAGCAGTACCCATGGCACAGCCTGAATGTTGGGTTATATTGAAATTTTCTCCACCAGATCAGTTAGTCTACCACCATTAATCTCAGTCTCTTGCAAAATCTCAGGACATAGGCAAAAT